TCAAGCCGTTCACGAAGAGCGAGAGATTCGACGTGAGAAATCTCGAGAGGAATATCACTCCTCTGTGATCGCGTAAAATAACGCGACTTGCATTTCTCTCGTCGGCGATCTCGACGGAGACTCTCTTAAATTATCTTACGGAAAAATTTCTTAATAAACCCTCACCCGTCGTGCGTATGTGTGTGTATGTGTGTGTGTGTGTGTGTACGCCGGAGGCTAAATCGCAGCGACTTCCTGGCTGCTCCTCCCGTTATATTTTCCTTGCCCACGACAGAGTGTTTTAACGCGAGACCTCTCGGTGCGATTCGTTTATCATTTTTGGCGAGCGTCGCCGCAGGAGCATTAACATTCTCTAACGTTGCTGGCAGCAAGCACGAACGACTGTTCGTGCTTGCTTGCTTGCTTGCTTGCTTGCGTGCGTGCGAGGTATGTGCGTGCGCGCGGCTTCATTTATGCGCACACACGCGCGCGCTCAGCCAATTTATATTTATGATGTATCGGGCCTCGATGACACAGCGGCTGGCTATGCTGGTCTCGAATCGGCCGAGAGACGACCAGGAAGAAAGGAAGAGAGAGAGAAAGAGAATGTGTAGAAGCAATAGACAGAGGGGCAGCCTTTCAACGGCAAGAGGAGAGAAAGGAGCGAGGCGAGAAGAGACGAGAAGAGAGAAGAGAGAAGAGAGGGAAGGAGAGGAGAGAGAGAGAGAGAGAGAGAGAGAGAGAGAGAGAGAGAGAGAGAGAGAGAGAGAGAGAGGAAAGGGGGAGGGGGGAGTAGAAAACACCCACGGAATGTAAAACGGTCCGATCGCTTATCCCTTTGTGGGTTACTACACATCACTTCCGTTCAACTTGATTGCGCGAGAATGAAAAATTCGCGACGCGCGATAAGACGCACAATCGAGTGGCCCGATGTGTCGGGAGGACATGGGAATCGCGAGGACACCGCCTCTTTGAAGAAATAAAAGGAGAACAGTCGCGTGGATTGAGGAGGTTGCCTCGCGAGTACCAAAAGAGATAATCGCTTCTCCCTGAGACGTGCGTTCTGTTTCTTTATTTATCAAGGCGATCGAGCTCTTTCATCAGTCGAAAGCAATGGAGAGAAATCGGAAGAAAGCAATCGGGATTCAATTGCGATTCCATTGTGTACAATACTTGATACAATAATGTCCCTTTGGAAAAAATAATAGAAGAGAAAACACACCAGTCGCGCGCAGCAAGGATATTTCTTCGCGAGGATAAAAGAAGACGAGATGACTCCTCCGTCGAACGTGCGTTCTTTTCCGCGTGTATCAAAAACACTCGAGCTTTTCATCAGTCTGCAGAGGAGAAGAAAGCAATCAAGATTCCATCGCGAGCCATTAGTGGCTCGGCCCATTCCTGCGTTTACTCGCCGGGGAGATTACTGTCTTTTTGGAAAAAATAAAAGGAAAATACAGTCGCGCGCGCGGTGAGGATATATTTCTTCACGAGGAGCGAAACAGACGATGACTCCATCTCCCTTGAACGCCCTCCTCCCTCCCCCCTGCCCATTAATTCCTCCTTTTCATTAATCGACAGAAGAAAGCAATCAAGATTCCATCGCAAGCTATTAGCTCCTCGATCTATTCATCCGTCCGCTCGCCACGTGTCGTCCGTTCGTCCTCGCGCGCGCGCGCGCGCGCGCGGTCTGCTCGAAATGACACGCGTCGCATTCTAATTACCATTCGCGGCCATTGCCTTCCCCAGGTAATAATTGCCGCAGGCCGCCGTGTCTAATACGAGATCCAGAACTTTGACCCACTTGAGCGTCTTGGTAGAAAAGAAGGAGCCTGCGCGAGGAGGAGTCCTCGAGAAGCGGGGAACCCCCCTTTGTTCATCGAGTTGTTCTCCAGACACGAGTCGCCCGCATTCCTTTCGCGGGCACGACGAAAAAAAGCAGACCCCTTCCGTGTGGAAAAAAGGAGTAATAAGGCGAATTTACAAGTGAACGCGGCTGTAACACGGTCGACCGGCTGCACCGGGTAGGCTCTGCGGCAACATCTGGAAATGCGATTTGATCCCGAAAAATCGCCCGCGCGCGCGCCTCGCGCTTTACCGTAGCCGGCGGTCGAGAATTAATCCGTGGTTGGAGACGCGCGTTTGAAGTTTCATCTCGCCTGAGAAATCTCGGAGCCTCCGGAATCCGGAGGCCGTTTGCGACGTAGAGGAGTTGCAGAACATCCGGAGGAAATACAATTATATGTAAGAGTATAATGCGATTGCAAGTGTAATACATTACGAATACAAAATATAATTACTATGCACATACTATCTATATTTAAAATGCACCAATCTAATATGCAGGGTGTCCGGGATCTTTTGGAAACAAAAAGTTCGGAAGATTAATCAGACCAAGCTGAGAAGAAAAATCAAGTACCATTTTGCAAAAATTGTAATTGATAACTTGAAAATTTGCGTACTTATTCGTAAAATAGCGAAGAACTGTTTGTTCGGAATGACCTAACCTACAATTATCTGACGGCTGCTGTGTGCGGCGATAAATACGAGTGTATTGAACTTTGAACCTTGAATCTTGAACCTGTCGATAGGCATAATATCCGTCATATTCCGAACACTAAAAGTCCTTTATCATTTTGCAAACAAGTACGTAAATTTTCAAGTTATTAATTAAAAAAGCCTCTAGATATAGATTTTCAATTATTAATAACTATTACGATTTTTACTATTAAAATGATATTTAATTTTTCTTCTCAGTTTGATCTGATTAATCTTCACAATTCTTTCCAAAAAATCCTCTCTTACATTCTGTATATATATATATATATACATATATGTTCATAAATAGGCTCTATATATGGAATAGATAACCAAAAAGAAACAGACTTTATAAGAGCCAATCGCGGGAAGTCAACGACACGAGCGACTTTAAAAATCAAGGTAATATAATATAAATTAATATTCAATAATCAAGAAAGTTCGTGCCGTTTTAATATACATATGTTTTAATACATACAATAGAAAACTTTAAATAATTAATTCCCGTTCATATACCGGTAAGTTTTCTATTACGTAAGCTTTCCGGCATTTTATTCCAGCATACATAACCGCACTTTTAATTAATAGTGTGTGCATGTGCAGTTTGACAGTGACGAAACTTGGAGACAGCACGAACTTTCTTGATTACCTGATATAGAATATCAGTGGCAATTATAATGTAGACAAAGTTTGCGGTGCCGCGGTGCCACGATTATCTCGATTGACACGAGATACTTTTTCGCTCATTTCGAGTCGCAGGCGAGTAATGCGAGACACTCCTGCGTAAACAGAGCGCAGCATTGCAGTGTCGCGCGGTAAATTCTTGCTCGCGGGCGTCTCATTTCACTGACCGGAGAGAAAGATCGAATTGTCCGTGATATAGACGGAATTAACCGAACTGAAAACTGCGCGCTCCGCAATCCGAGCTGCGAATTAATTTTCACTGTTATCTCAATATTATTGCTCACGTGTCGCTCACGTGAGGCGCTGCGAAACGGATGTGAGCGCAGCCGGTCGTTTCCGAAGAGCGAAGACACCCGATTGCACCTTTGCGATCATCGTACATCGTCGTTCGCGAGATATTTCGCATCAGCGTGATTCTCGTCGCGAGAGATCCTGCGAGAGAGAATAATGAGAGAAAACGGGAAACGAGCTCGTCGACGGGACGCGACGGGAGGACGCGGGACGAGGAGGTCCGAGGAGCGAAGTAACGCGCGCTTTAATCAGCGGGGCGTGTCGTCGCTTTCGTTACACTGCAATTTGTAGCAATTTAGTGGGTGCGCCGGGGTCGAAATTAATATTAACGACCACGGACACGTCGGGAGACGCGCGTTTCCGCGTCCGAGGTCCGAGACGAAAAGGGAGGCCCGAGAAGAAATTCGAGGGCACAGCGGGGATGCATAATTCATAGTACTACTGCCGGGGCCGCGCGATTACGACGCTGGCCGATCGCATCGTGATGTAAACACTCGTAAATCGATGCAATTGGCGAGGGATGCAGTCGCGAGCGCGAGACCGAAGGAGGAAACGCTCGCGGTCGCGGCGATTTACGCGAGACGGCCGCTCTTTCGCGCTGCTATCGTGGGATAGCGCCTCTTCGGCCATTCGCGGCTGAGAAGGAAACGAGTCGTAGATCTTCCCGCGGAGGGTTTCACCGGGCATTTTTTCTCTTTTTTATTTCATTCCGCAGTCGTTGCTCGCGAATGAAATCAATCGGCAGAGCCGGCGCGTGAATTGCGCGAATAGTTCATCTCTCGCTCTCCTCTTGGCCCCGCAAGTTGGCTCTCGCCAAGTTAGACTCGCGTCGAGTTTGTTTGGAATAATCCAAACTGGCCGGCGTATTTTCTACTATATCCGATCCCGTGAAAATTTCGCGAACGCGACGCGTCGCTCGCAAAGCAAAGCCGTTCGAGTGAAGCCACAGTGGAAATTAATAACTCGGTTCTGCGAGTTCTCCCGAAATGAAACTTGGGCCGAGTTTGCTAAAGCCGTCAATGTGTCGAGTATTTTATAAAATTTTATAAAACGTTGTAGCGGCTTTTAAATCTATGCATCATAAATATATGCTGAATTTCCGGCGTTCTTTCCGTTGCTTTCTATTCCGGAGAGCTTTCAAACAACAAAGACTCTCGATGGACCGACCTGAGGTCGATTATGAATCCTTTCCTCCGGCGTGAACTCGTTCAAAGTGAAAATCCTCCAGTTTCAAGGCACTTGGCAATGTCCACTTCTTACGAGTTCAAACTGAAGAAAAAGACTCACGACCGCGCGACTCTCTGCCTACCCGACGCTGATGGGACATTCGACGGTTTCGACGCGGCTCGCGCGCGCGCGCGCGCGCGATTCGAAGTGAGTAATCGTGGATTGCGGGTTAGAATAATCAAGACCACAATGCGACACTGAGAGAGTCTCCCCGTCCAAAGATCTCGCGGAAATTTCGCAACGCGTCGAGCCAAGTCGCTCGAAGATCAATCTCGTTCGCTTACCTCGCTCTGACGCGGCGACTTTTCAGCGAAACGAGATCGCCATCCCGTCTCGTGCCGAGCGATCGTTCGTTCCGTACCTTCGGTCGAAATTGGTAATGAAAATGCCACTATATGTACGTGTATATATATATACGGTGACGCGAGTGTCCGCTCGCGGGAGAGAAACGCGCGCGACCACCTCACGTGCGGCTCGCTGGACGCGCGAAGCGAGACTGAGGAACGCGAGGCGTGGGTCGTACGCGCGGCGCTGTGTAACGAGACGCAAACTCGTCAAGCATCGTGTGCGAGCGACGGTCGAGTTATCACTTCAAGGATGCCGGAGTGATCCGCGTACGCTCGGTCGACTTGGGCATTTCGCTTTCGTAGGGTAAGCCCTACGAAATAGATGAGCATAGGGGATAGATCAGGGTTTCCCAACCCTATCTTGTATTTCGCACCCCTAAACATTTACCGATGAACCTTCGCGCCTCCTAAAAGAGAAAAATGATTCGCATGTTTTATTGGTAAAGATTAGTTGTTAGGGTTTCAAGGTTAAGAAGCTAATTTATAATAATTCATTATCACATGGGATTGTTTTATAGGAATTAACTATCATTTTTTGTACTTCGCACCCCTGAACATTTACCGATGAACCTTCGCACTCCCTACAAAAGAAAATTATTCGCATGTTTTATGGTAAAGATTAGGGTTTTAAGTGTTTCAATTGTTAGGGTTTTGAGGTAGGAAGTTAGGGTTATGGTTAGTTAGGGTTTTAAGGTTAAGAAGTTAATTTGTAATAATTCATTATCACATAGTATTGTTTTATAGGAATTAACTATCATTTTAATACAATGTTATAAAATTATTATCCATGGTACCAAGCTTATTCGCATACGTGATACGTAACGAGTATACACGTACAGATACATAAAGAATATATAATTTTAATAACATTTTTCTTAATTGGATGGTAAAAGTGCCGGATTATTTCAGAATTCATCTTAATCATTATTAATTGCAATCACTTTTCCTCGCACCCTCAAGAATGTTTCTTCGTAGCCCCGGCTGGGAACCCCTGCCCTGGGATGGATGGTCAATTGCTATGATTTTGTTAATATGCGCTAGGCGTCAGCGCTCATCGGTCAGTTGTGAGTTGGATGTGGGTCCACGAATAGGTGTGTCTCTTTCTGATGCACGAAAGCACTGTTATCGTGAGTAAATAAATGTTTCATGTTTCTATTAAGCTCCAAAATGTTTCACACGTCGGAAAAATACCTCGCGAATACGGTTTACTTTGAGTCGCGACATTAGACCCAGGCTTAAACGATTGAGAAAACATCGTATTTGCGTATTTAATCTCAAAATTCGTCAGCGAGACTACGTTTCACGCGGTATACGCATCTTTACGCGAACTCTCCGAAAAATGGGATAGATGGTTCATTTTTGTCAGAGTTAGATGGACAACCTCAAGCTCAGCGAGAAATAGCAAGCAATGGACATTGGATCGATGTTTTCTAGATGCTTTAGACTTTAGACGTACAAAAGACGTCGATCCGATATCTATTCGACTATCATTTTTCCCCGGGTACCTAACATTAAAAACTTCAGTACATTTTGAACAGCTTCTCGTTTCGTTTAAAGATGCCGAATAGATTCCTTTCTTTTTTCGCCCTTTAATAAACAATATTTTGCCATAGGGTCTTTTTCTGTGTTGCCACTTTTCAACCTCTTCTCCAATGTTGTTCTTGGTTTTTATAAGAAACTTGTCGAAATGTTCTATCTCATTAATAATTAATTAAAGGATTAATAAAAAGGTTGATAATTAATAAAAGAATGTAAAGTATCAAAAAAGTAAACAAAGACAAACAAATTTCTACATTATTATAGGCATGCTTAACTATCCCTTCACATATGACCATCTACCTCGGACACTCCCCCCACGACTTTATCTATCCCTCACAGAATATTTTTAATATTTAATTATTCGGCGGCATCCCATGCATTTTTTTCAAAATTCTTCGGTACCTAAACATTATCCTCTACCGAGCGTGTTAATATGTTGTTGATCGTTTATTGCGATAATAGATAACAGATGTGTTATTTCCAATTTAAAAAACTATGCCGATCTATCCCGGACTTAACTTAACCCTCTGAGGGCGCGCGGTCGTCTGAAAATATTCTTCGACCGCGCGTCTCTCACCGAGCGGCCGTGAGAACTTCGCGCGGCGAAACCTACTCGTGCTCTTTGGGGAGAGAGGGAGGAATTATGATTCCAATTTCGTTTCTTTCTATCCCCTCTCCTCGCGCTCGATTGATTATTCCCGCCACGTGCGCGATCGATCGAGCGCAACTGTCCTTAATACTGTCCTTAACAGCGCGTCATCGATCGGGCTCGGATCTTTGTGCCGCTTCTAATGGCACTGCAAGCGCCATTAGAAGCGGCACAAATCATTTTGGTGATTGTCAGCCCCGCAGCTCCACGGTGATTACAGATCTTGATCCCGTAAGCTGGCACCCTGGCCGGTCGTTATCGAGATGTCGCCCGGTGCTCACAAAGTAGGCCGGCCCGATATTTTATCCAAGGGCTTTTGTCTGTTTCCCCAACCGCCATACGACGTGGTCCTACGAGGGCTGGCCACCCCTATGTTGTCCCAGGGCGTCCAGTTACGTCTCATCCGCAGCGGGAAAAGCCGACGGAGGCGCCAAAGTGCTTTATGAATTTATGACACGTGTCGACGAGGGTCAACGTTTCGCTGCGCGGCGTGAAGTTCCGCTTACTTTGGCTCGTTATACACGGTAGCTCATAAAGTATCCCCTCCTTTCGTTGATCTTACCTCTGTACTGTACGCGTAAAATGGTGAGAAGAATTTCTTCACTTTCACGTCTCAGCATAATTTCAGTACAACTAAGAAAAAGCATTTCACTTTTGTGCCACCAAAAAATACCGTAACCCTCTAGTAGCACACTTCATTGGCGTTACATTGGTGTTGCACCAACACATCAGCTACGGTGACATAAATTGGGGTTACATTGGCCCAGTGTATCCCAATATACAGCCAATATTGGTTAGATATTAAATTACAATATATCGTCAATATTGTATAGCATTGTTATACCAATATTGACTTACATTGGGGTTACATTGGCCCAATGTATCTCAATATGCCAGCTAATATTGGTGAGATATCAAATTACAAGATATCGCTAATATTGCATAGCATTGTTATACCAATATTGACTTACATTGGGGCTACATTGGCCCAATGTATCCCAATATGCAACTAATATTGGTTAGATATTAAATTACAATATATCGCCAATATTGCATAGCATTGTTATACCAATATTGACTTACGTTGGGGTTACATTGGCCAATATTGGGGGCCCAATTTGTGGCCAATATTGGCCCAACAATATATGCTACTAGGGAAACTTCATTTGTATATCACAAAGTTTTCCTGGATAATCGAATACTTTTTAAATTATTCGAGCATTTCGAACACATCCTTATTGGTATTTGGATATTTCTCAAGGAAGTCTTAATCGTTATATTATCTGACTGCTCTGCTAGCTAATTGTCGGTTAAAATTAATGAGCAACGAGAGAGAGCGGATATTATATTTTCTAATTGGCTGCTTCTTTTGCAATTTGCAACTCTCGACATCTACATGTAAATTAGATACTACAATGATTTACAACTTGCAATTGACAACTTGCCACTTTGCAACTCGCAACAGAGTGTTGTAGCCTATCCTGGACCAGCCTTTACAGTCGATTCAACGCACTACAGAAATTTCGCTGTACGCTAGCGTCCTCTTAGGAATATCGTGACCGGAGTGTGAAGCTGTAGCTAGAAATTAGCATAGATGGTAACAGATACGGAGTATCTGAAAATCTGAATCTGGGAAAAAGATATCGGAAAGTATGAAGAAAGTATTAATATTGGCCGTTTTCCAGCTATGACACGCTAAATTACACTGTGCTACACCGTGTAAAGTATTTGTTGGAACGCAGTTTAGTTTCTTTGTGTAACACCATTACGGTCTGTCATTCCTATTTTTATGAGTATCTTACGGATCTGTATAATAAGCATATAATTCTAAAACAATTAAAGGAATAAGTATTTTTCAAAAAATCCATTACATTATTGCATTGTTGCATACAATGCAATACAAACAGTTCTAAAAGGAAGTAGGAAGAGAATGATATATGAAGAAATTTATTTTAACGAGATATGTAAATAAAAAATGTCTTAATTATTTTTTTTATATTTATCTTCAACTTTTGTTACAGGTTTCATTGTGTTTCTTCGTATAAATCAGTATAATATATAAATACATATAACAATATATATATATATATATATATATATACAGGGTGCACGATTTATCTGAAGACATTGAAATATCTCGAGAACTATGCATTGGATAAAAAAAAGTAGTTAATGAAAGTTGTTAGTCTCGAAGGGGGACATCCAATGATACCAAACTCGACCTCCCACCCCACCCCACATAATTTTAAAGATCGCATTGCTTAAGTTTTAAAGACCGCATTGCACTGCCTTTTATAATAAGACGTAGTTCGCCATACACCCACAGTGGCGCGTCGAGCAGTTCCCTCTTCGATTCGGGTTCCCATTTGAGATTTGAACGTTACCACCCACCCTACCCCGAGAGGATGGGGAGGAATAACTAACTTCTCGAGATATTTCAATGTCTTCAGATAAATCGTGCACCCTGTATTGTAAGATACGTTCACACTAATTAAATATATTTATTATTGTGAATTATATTCGTACTAAAGGAGTAAAAACAGTTACCATCTGTTACATAAAATATTTCGAAATATTGGTAATATTGATATGACTTACACGCTGCAACTTAGACTTTTGCTGTGTAGAGCAGTATAATATTGTGTGTCATTGTTGGAACATTCTGTGTTGGACATATAGTGTTACACCGTGCCCTCTGTGACCCTTGCTGGAAAACGGCCATTGAAAACAGGACGCGTGTGTGTATATATTTTTATTTATTTATGTTTATAAATATATACGGTAAAGTGTTCATCAATCAACTCTCGGCCTGCTTCAGAGTTGAAAACCAAATTCTACAAGGCACGGAAACAAAGATACGATGTAGCCGAAATAGTCGGTACTGTCATGACTTTTGAATTACCTCCAAGCCCTTCGGAGTCCCTTTGCGGGGATTTAACGATTTTTATGAAAATTTACCCAGTCTTTAGCATTATCTCGTCAGTGCTTTTGTGCTCTTTTAACGATGATTTCATCGATTTGAAAAAGCCGCGCTAATCGACTTTACCGACCTCTATCACGTGACCGTCCATCCTCTCACATATATATATCAGTCAACAAGTGACATCTGTGCGGTGTATTGCTCACAGTGTTATTCGTTTCTTTTATCTTTATTTTATTTTCACTGTGTTGTGAAAATATCGTGTGACTTGTGCGTGCCTTGAAAGAGCTTGCGTCGCTCTCCCGAGAAATCGCCGAGAGATTTCTCTTCGTTACAACTTCGTCACAGTTTAATCTAATTCCAAGTTTCGTTTCAACCAAGTGGATCGATATCGCATGAAATGTGTCTGTGACGTAATTTGTGCGCATTTAGATAAAACTTGATGATAACATCATCGATTATCGTCGCAATGTCACCGGCCGGTAGTCACGTGTGAAAGCCAGGCGCGACTTTCGAAATGTATGAGAACCTGTTCAAGAACCCGCTGCATCGGGTATTCGTATACGGCACCCTGAAACGAGGAGAGCCCAACCACAGCATCATAAAGGATGTCGCGAACGGATACGCGAAGTTTCTCGGTATCGCCAAGACGACGACGTCGTATCCCCTGGTGATCGCTACCAAATACAACATACCGTTCCTGCTGAAGAAACCGAACGTCGGCAATGTAAGTTGACAGTATCAGAGAGAAGCCTGAGAGCGGGCATGGCTGCATTTACAGCGTTATGGAAAAGTTGGCTGATTCGAAGCGCCAATTGGGTCCATTTTTCATGGACATGAACTACTAAACCAATGCCCACGATTTGTTGGTACTATCCCGTGCTATGTCCATAATTATTTGGTTCTGTTCTGTGCTATGTTCACGAGCGAGCTAGATTAGTTAGATAAAAACGAAGAATCGGTCTTTGTCTCATCACCAACGAATAGAGAATCGCGACGAAGCAAGCCAGCAGCGATGTGATCGTAAGGCAGCCGTCGTCGTTTCGCCTTTCGCCCCCTTGTTTTCCTTTCCACATTGTTTTATATTCTTAATTCGGGAAGAAAATAATTTCGAGAGTTCGGACGATTTCTAGCAGTGACGCGACAGAGATAACGCGCGGCCACATTAATTTGTCATGACTTTTATATTACTTATAATTACATAAACGCCCATATATGCAAATTATAGATAATTATTGCGCGTATGTTTTAATATTGTACAATATGGTATATAATAACAACAACTTCATTTCTTGCAGTAATTTTTTTAAGATCTTCGTTGAGGTCGTGAATTAATTTTTTTCTTCATCAATCAGTTTTCTGCAAAAATTACGATTTTTTAAATAAAATATAAAATGTTTCTCTTCTCTTCTCTCCGAAGAGTTAATTAAAAAATATGTACTCCACAGAGTCAACTAACAAATGTGTAGTCAGAAGAGTCAATTTAAAAGTGTACTCCGAAAAGTCAATTTAATAGCGTATTCCGAAGAGTCAATTTGAAAGCGTACTCTGAAAAATCAAATTAATATTGTAATCCGAAAAGTCAATTTATAATAGAATATTTACTTCGATGATTCAGCTAAAGAAAAAAAACATTTATTTATTATTATATTCAGAGAATAATATTTAATTTATTATTTATACTTATCTTACTTATGCTTACCCTACATATGCTTTTTTGAATGAAAAATTTAATTTGTTGACTGATTCAGATTCAGATTTGTTAAAATATCTCTTATGCGCAACTCTTGAACAGGCAGGTAGTAAAATAATTTTTTTTCTTTACGAATTTTATAAACTTTTCACGAACATAAAAATTGAAAGATTCTCAGAGAACAAATAACTTTTCTTGAACATTTAAACCAAAGGAAAATCTTTTCCCATTAATAAAGAATGAATAATTAATATCTCACATAAGAGGAATCTTCATCTTTGAAATCACCGTGTGATTTTGCTTTTAGAAAAGTATAATATTGATGTAATAGTAACAAATGCCATCCAAAAACGGTGCAAATCTTAAACGCTTTTGAGAAATGCAGTTTGAAGTTTAGTCTTTTCTGTTAATGTCGTTATAGCAGAAGAATTACCAATTTGCTTCAGTAACGCAGTGGATCAGGCTTTGTGATATGAGCGTAGAGGTTGTTCAAGTGTGTTATTTTTACTATCACAGGGAGAACTATGTAGAATGTATAATAATACGCAGACAAATTCTTTACATAATCATATTTATTTCTTTTAGCATGAATAAAAATGATCAATGCTAACACGATAAGTGCATAGCGCAATTGTTCGTGTACACATACACACATACACATACACACGTATACCAATGATGTCAAAACCGAACAATTCGTGAAAATTTTTTATTGATCGCAATTGTACGCAAAGACAAAAGAGAAGTACACGGGTCTCCGCGGGTTAAATTAATATGACCTCGTCATATTAATTGTCTATGAGCTGATAAACAATGATCTCCGGTATTTACAAGTTACGCTTGTCCGCAGCTTGTTCGGTTTTGACATCATTGGTATCAGTGATGCGAATTTGGTGACGGACTTGCACGAGGATCCTCCTCCCCTCTCCCCCCATATACGCACACAGCCAGCTCGGTCAATCCGTGTGAGCCACGCGATCGGCAATTGCGACGCGCCGAGCGAGCGAGAGAGAGAGAATATCATTCCCTCCTTGTCGCTCTCGTTCTCGCTCAGCGAGCGAGCCTAATTCTTTCTTACCCATAATCTGAATCGCGGGCGCGACTGTCTCTCTCTCTCCTTTCCTCTCTATGACAATACTGAAAAGTTTTGTCTACTCGGCGCACCGAAATTATTACAAATAATATTTTATTATTAATAATATTATTATTTGTAATATATATTATTTGTAATATTATTATTTGTAATTTTATTTGTAATTGTATAATAATGTTACAAATAATATAAATTTTTACAAATTTTATTTGTAAAAATTTATATCATTCGTAATATTATTTGTAGTAGTATTAATAATATTCGGCGCCAAGAAAATGAAATATATTTTATTAATTATTTTGCGAAGTCGGGCAGGTTCACAGGTTGGATTATTGAATTGTTTAATAATATTTTAAGAATAATTTTAAGTTATACAAGGATGTAGTATGAAATATGAAAGAATATTGTAACAGAATCAAGAAGTACGAAATGAAACCTCTTTGCTTTTATTACAATATCCTGTAAGTTAATAAATATTTTTCATACGGTATTAAATAATCTCCAAAAACAATTAATCCGTGAAATTTTCTATCTGCGCAAAAAAAATTCATAAAATATATTTGTTTCGTTGCCCTAAATGAGAAAACTCTCAGAACAATGTTATAGTTGTTCAGTGCACTACTCAATAAAAATATAATAATACTATGTTTGTATGTGTGAAGAATATTTGCTAACTTACAGGATATTGTAATAAAAGCAAGGAGGTTTTATTTCGTACTTCTAAGACCAAGACTTATTAACGGCTAAAGACATATTCGAATTGATCTTGCCTTAATTGGTCGGATCAGTGATGAGTCTTGCCTTAAATTCCAAGCCTCATTACTCGATGTACTCGAAAGTACTCGATGAAATGTAACTTTGTTAGAGTGTTTTGGAAAGCTCTCGAGATAAGCTACAAGAATATGTAATAAAAAATTGTAGTTTCTATTTAAAAAAACATTAATGACCTTGGCCTGATTTTGGTCAAGGTCACTCAAGGTCACGTCCACATTTCCGTCATGTGTCGTCCTTCAAGCCATGCAACTTTCGTTCGAAAAATTTTTTAATAAAATCATCGATAATGGAACATGTCACTTTAGTTAGAAAAGTCTGAAAACGGTCAAATACCTCGAAAACGAAACATTTTTAAGAAAAATGTTTCCAACTAAAGTTGTAGGGTTTTAAAAGTTCTATTGAATGATCATATCCGGTTGACCTTGAGTAGAGGAGTCAAGGCGAGGTCAATGCCAACATGATTTTTTTAAACGGAACATCCAATTGTTTATCACACAGTGTTAAAGGTGACAACGAGCCGTTTCCAAAACACTACTTGATGACCTATTTTTGTTGAGAATTGTCTGAGTTATGAGCTTTAGAATTTACGGTGCCGCCAGCATTAGTATTATTCAGGATGTACCGCGTAGAGGTTGTATGGTCGGACTTTATACCCCCCTGTGTGTGTGTGTGTGTGTGTGTGTGTGTGTGTGTGTGTGTGTGTGTGTGTGTGTGTCAGCAGAGATAAGGACTATGCAGTAGTAGTGCGTCAATTTTTAACTGATACTTTCCCAAACCGATGGATAACAAGATGTGGAGAAATAGAGTGGCCCTCTAGATCACCAGATCTTTCTCCATTGGACTACTTCTTATAGGGATACGTTAAAAACAATGTGTACGGAACGAAACCTGCTAACTTGGCAGACCTTACGGAACGCATACTGCACCAAGTAAATCTTATTTCACCAGAAATGAGACGAAACGTTTTAAATGAATTTCATCTACGATAAGGTTATTGTCAAGCAGCAGACGGAAGACAATTTGAACACTTAATTCAATAAAAACCCGTCTACATACACACGCGCACGCGCGCGCGCGTGTGTGTAGTAATGTAGTAAAGTAATGTTTTGGAAACGTCTCGCTGTCATCTTTAACACTGTGTGATAAGAAATTGAGTTTGATTGATATTCCATTTAAAAAAGTTATGTTGGCCTTGACCTCGCCATGATCTCTTTACGCAAGGTCAAACGGATATCATTATTCAATAAATCTTTTAAAACCCTACAACTTTGGTTGGAAACATTTTTCTCAGAAACGTTCTATTTTCGAGATATTTGACCGTTTTCAGACTTTTCTAATACCCTGTATACATATATGTATAAACAAATTTACTCTGCATGCTGTCCCAACAACTAAAGTATCAGTAGCAGGACATTGTATAAAGTAATGAATGCCATATTTCATCATGGATTGTGCATTGCAAGCGGTCATTACACAAGTATATGTAGAGAAGGTAAATCTGATTGGATTGAAGCTGATGATACGCAAATAAAAAACACTGGCCCAGAGGCGCTACAAATGTTTGTATTCTTTTCATGGCAAAAATTTAACACGTTTATTAATAGTATCCAACAATAAAAAAAAATATCTTTTTAAAAGTTATTATTATTCAAGAAAAACCTAACGAAAAAAAATGTACGTAACATAAGTTTTTACATGTAAAATTTATTATAAAACTTACCTTTCTAAACAAAAAAGTAAAAAAAGGCGCCAAGTACAAGCGCAGCATGTATTGTGTTATTTTTAGAAGTATCAAACTCAAATTATTTTTTTTAATGTATATATGTGTACATAAGTTTTTACAAGTAAAACTTATAACTATAACAAAACTCTGCAACACTATTCTACTGTACAAAAGAACTGATTTATTAGAACAATAGCGCCAACTAAGAAACCTAATATATATATATGATTATTGTATACTTAACTTAATATTTTTAGAAATCTCAAACTATGTGGAGGTTGCATGGTCGAACTTTACACCCCCCCTGTGTGTGTGTGTGTGCGTGTGTATGTGTCAGCAAAAATAAGGTTCGTCCCTCCGCGGTTCGTCACTACCGCAGTATTTAATGACTCCAAACCCTCTCTGCTCTGTGTGTGTGTGCGCGCGCGCGCGCGTGCGCGTGTGTATGTAGACGGGATTTTATTGAATTAAGTGTTCAAATTGTCTTCCGTCTGCTGCTTGACAATAACCTTATCGTAGATGAAATTCATTTAAAACGTTTCGTCTCATTTCTGGTGAAATAAGATTTACTTGGTGCAGTATGCGTTCCGTAAGGTCTGCCAAGTTAGCAGGTTTCGTTCCGTACACATTGTTTTTAACGTATCCCTATAAGAAGTAGTCCAATGGAGAAAGATCTGGTGATCTAGAGGGCCACTCTATTTCTCCACATCTTGTTATCCATCGGTTTGGGAAAGTATCAGTTAAAAATTGACGCACTACTACTGCATAGTCCTTATCTCTGCTGACACACACACACACACACACACACACACACACACACACACACACACACACACACACACACAGGGGGGTATAAAGTCCGACCATACAACCTCTACGCGGTACATCCTGAATAATACTAATGCTGGCGGCACCGTAAATTCTAAAGCTCATAACTCAGACAATTCTCAACAAAAATAGGTCATCAAGTAGTGTTTTGGAAACGGCTCGTTGTCACCTTTAACACTGTGTGATAAACAATTGGATGTTCCGTTTAAAAAAATCATGTTGGCATTGACCTCGCCTTGACTCCTCTACTCAAGGTCAACCGGATATGATCATTCAATAGAACTTTTAAAACCCTACAACTTTAGTTGGAAACATTTTTCTTAAAAATGTTTCGTTTTCGAGGTATTTGACCGTTTCCAGACTTTTCTAACTAAAGTGATATGGTCCATTATCGATGATTTTATTAAAAAATTTTTCGAACGAAAGTTGCATGGCTTGAAGGACGACACATGACGGAAATGTGGACGTGACCTTGAGTGACCTTGACCAAAATCAGGCCAAGGTCATTAATGTTTTTTTAAATAGAAACTACAATTTTTTATTACATATTCTTGTAGCTTATCTCGAGAGCTTTCCAAAACACTCTAACAAAGTTACATTTCATCGAGTACTTTCGAGTACATCGAGTAATGAGGCTTGGAATTTAAGGCAAGACTCATCACTGATCCGACCAATTAAGGCAAGATCAATTCGAATATGTCTTTAGCCGTTAATAAGTCTTGGTCTTAGAAGTACGAAATAAAACCTCCTTGCTTTTATTACAATATCCTGTAAGTTAGCAAATATTCTTCACACATACAAACATAGTATTATTATATTTTTATTGAGTAGTGCACTGAACAACTATAACATTGTTCTGAGAGTTTTCTCATTTAGGGCAACGAAACAAATATATTTTATGAATTTTTTTTGCGCAGATAGAAAATTTCACGGATATAATTGTTTTTGGAGATTATTTAATACCGTATGAAAAATATTTATTAACTTACAGGATATTGTAATAAAAGCAAAGAGGTTTCATTTCGTACTTCTTGATTCTGTTACAATATTCTTTCATATTTCATACTACATCCTTGTATAACTTAAAATTATTCTTAAAATATTATTAAACAATTCAATAATCCAACCTGTGAACCTGCCCGACTTCGCAAAATAATTAATAAAATATATTTCATTTTCTTGGCGCCGAATATTATTAATACTACTACAAATAATATTACGAATGATATAAATTTTTACAAATAAAATTTGTAAAAATTTATATTATTTGTAACATTATTATACAATTACAAATAAAATTACAAATAATAATATTACAAATAATATATATTACAAATAATAATATTATTAATAATAAAATATTATTTGTAATAATTTCGGTGCGCCGAGTAGACAAAACTTTTCAGTATTGTCATAGAGAGGAAAGGAGAGAGAGAGACAGTCGCGCCCGCGATTCAGATTATGGGTAAGAAAGAATTAGGCTCGCTCGCTGAGCGAGAACGAGAGCGACAAGGAGGGAATGATATTCTCTCTCTCTCGCTCGCTCGACGCGTCAATTGCCGATCGCGTGGCTCACACGGATTGACCGAGCTGGCTGTGTGCGTATATGGGGGGAGGGGGGAGGAGGATCCTCGTGCAAGCCCGTCACCAAATTCGCATCACTGATACCAATGATGTCAAAACCGAACAAGCTGCGGACAAGCGTAACTTGTAAATACCGGAGATCATTGTTTATCAGCTCATAGACAATTAATATGACGAGGTCATATTAATTACCCGCGGAGACCCGTGTACTTCTCTTTTGTCTTTGCGTACAATTGCGATCAATAAAAAATTTTCACGAATTGTTCGGTTTTGACATCATTGGTATACGTGTGTATGTGTATGTGTGTATGTGTACACGAACAATTGCGCTATGCACTTATCGTGTTAGCATTGATCATTTTTATTCATGCTAAAAGAAATAAGTATGATTATGTAAAGAATTTGTCTGCGTATTATTATACATTCTACATAGTTCTCCCTGTGATAGTAAAAATAACACACTTGAACAACCTCTACGCTCATATCACAAAGCCTGATCCACTGCGCTACTGAAGCAAATTGGTAATTCTTCTGCTATAACGACATTAACAGAAAAGACTAAACTTCAAACTGCATTTCTCAAAAGCGTTTAAGATTTGCACCGTTTTTGGATGGCATTTGTTACTATTACATCAATATTATACTTTTCTAAAAGCAAAATCACACGGTGATTTCAAAGATGAAGATTCCTCTTATGTGAGATATTAATTATTCATTCTTTATTAATGGGAAAAGATTTTCCTTTGGTTTAAATGTTCAAGAAAAGTTATTTGTTCTCTGAGAATCTTTCAATTTTTATGTTCGTGAAAAGTTTATAAAATTCGTAAAGAAAAAAAAATTATTTTACTACCTGCCTGTTCAAGAGTTGCGCATAAGAGATATTTTAACAAATCTGAATCTGAATCAGTCAACAAATTAAATTTTTCATTCAAAGAAGCATATGTAGGGTAAGCATAAGTAAGATAAGTATAAATAATAAATTAAATATTATTCTCTGAATATAATAATAAATAAATGTTTTTTTTCTTTAGCTGAATCATCGAAGTAAATATTCTATTATAAATTGACTTTTCGGATTACAATATTAATTTGATTTTTCAGAGTACGCTTTCAAATTGACTCTTCGGAATACGCTATTAAATTGACTTTTCGGAGTACACTTTTAAATTGACTCTTCTGACTACACATTTGTTAGTTGACTCTGTGGAGTACATATTTTTTAATTAACTCTTCGGAGAGAAGAGAAGAGAAACATTTTATATTTTATTTAAAAAATCGTAATTTTTGCAGAAAACTGATTGATGAAGAAAAAAATTAATTCACGACCTCAACGAAGATCTTAAAAAAATTACTGCAAGAAATGAAGTTGTTGTTATTATATACCATATTGTACAATATTAAAACATACGCGCAATAATTATCTATAATTTGCATATATGGGCGTTTATGTAATTATAAGTAATATAAAAGTCATGACAAATTAATGTGGCCGCGCGTTATCTCTGTCGCGTCACTGCTAGAAATCGTCCGAACTCTCGAAATTATTTTCTTCCGAAAGGTCATCATAAGGTAGCTCACTTAAATCTCTACAACTTTTCATTCGGATCATTTTCCTTGAAACTTCAATACTGAAGAGTTATTAGGGTGGTCCGTTACTTTTGGGACACCCTGTATATTTCGTAATATTACGACACAATGTGACGATGTTGTATCTCTGTATTTGCCGGAGCAGCATGTGCAGGGGGAGATATACGATGTGGACTCTACGATGCTGAAGAAACTGGACGAGCTGGAAGAGCACCCCGCCTTTTACGAACGCACCGAGGAAGAGATCCTACTAGCCCCGGAGGCTATGCTGAAGCCTGGGAGGACTTTCGAGGAGGTAATTCAGATATCGTGCGACGTTAATCATCGGGTGATCTTCAAGGTGTCACTTCACGCGGGTTCTTCACACTTTCCAGATCAGCGAGCTGACGAGAGCGTGGATATACTTTCTGCCGAGGTACAATCCTTCGCTGTTGGATGGCCCCATGTACGTGTCTTACAGCAACAACGGGCAACACGGGCTGAAATATTGCGAGAAGTATGTTCGCGATCCGTCTTACGATCACAGGAAAGAAGTACAGTAAAATCAACGCCGGCTCGCGGCTTTTATCTCGTGTTGCAGCGACGAGGACTCGTCGAGCATTAACGACGTTCTTTGAACTCGTCTCGGTCTCGGGCGCACGGAATTATCCTTACGGAATTAACATAATTTCGTCTCAGTCGCATAATGAGAATGACCCGAAAGAGCCGTTCCGGAAGAGTGACGATTTAATCTCGGCTAATAGCGATTCGGCATCGGTTGCTGTAGCGCTTGATAAAATGCGGACCCGACGAGTTCAGCCGAAGGATCGACAAACAACCTGATCTGATAAAGCGCTCTGATTACAGACACCGTCAGTTAATAAAGCGTTTTATATTGTTGCATGATGCGATGATGTAACAACAATACAGCAAAACACACATCTTCCATTCTTACGTCGAGTTTAACTCGACGATGCATTTTGTTACGGTCGATTCTATAATATTAGATATTTTCTATGCATTTATATTACACATGCTATATGTTCTTTTTTAATCAGATCAGACAACATACATATCCAAGAGACGTCTATAGAGATACCCCGCTTGGATATTTCTCATACGGACGTTTCCAAGATGTTGGATGTTGGATATTTGTGCTGTCAGAATATAACGTGGGTTTCGGAGTAATTTGAAAAAAATGTGGGTACTAGGATAGCATCCGAGATACTCGGCCAGTACCAGAGTATCCGCAATCGAGTACGCCGCCGATCGCGACATCTATTTACGACTTATTGAGGTGTGTCATTTTACGTGGAGAACAACCTGTGTGTATCGTAATTGACTTTTATTAAATATACGCTACCCCACATCTTCGCGCGATCTCGCTCTTTCCATCATTCCAACGCTCGCTCTCATTTAATAATAATAAGTGATAAAGTCATCGTTGTATCTTCAACTATTACTCTCTGTGTAACAAAGGCAGGCTAGTCCGCGTCGCCACGGGCGAGCAAATCACCTCGAAATCGTCCTCGAGAGGCACCGGTGTTGCGTTTCCGCATACTTAAGCTACACATTTCTCCCGACGCTGTGATGTGTCTCACGTCGAAAACCGACTCGCTTCCGTCCGCAGGAGAGCTCGCGAAGGACATTCGATCGATCGCACGCGAGCAAGTGAGTGCTGCGCGCTCTCTCCTTTGAGATTCCGAGGATCGGCCAACGATCGGTATTTCGTTTACGGCAGATTAGAAATGCTCGCAAGGTAGCGCATACGAGAGAGAGAGAGAGAGAGAGAGAGAGAATTATCCTAGGAAATTTATTTATAAATAATCACATTTTATCACTCGCTATACAAGTATCCTTATTTTCTATCCGTTTCTGTACGGCATCCCTCTCCCCTCCGCCTTTTCGTGTTCTGAAAAACAAACCATCTCCTCCTCCTCCTCCTCTTCGTCGGAGAGGGTCTGCCGACAACGGAAGAGTCCGTCTTCCGACAGACTCGATATTTTCAATATTTCTGTTCTGCCATGCTGCCTCCTGACGAAAAGAAATTCTCACATCAACGAAAGAAGAGAATCGCGTCGATCGTTAACAGAGGCGTACGAAAGAGCCTTTCTTTTTCCTTTATATATATATTTAACACGAGTGTAATACGCATATGTCTTTCTCCCTCCTACTTGTGTACAACACCATCGCGCGACGTTCTCGCTTTTGTCGCGTTTCACATTCAGTTATGTTGTCCTAAGGCATGCCTTGTGCCCCTGTGCGACTACCAATTAGTCTCATACGTCCGCGTTCCTGTTGTATTTCTCTCGATTTGCCTATTTTATTTATCCGCACCGTTCCAAAGCCCAGCCCCCGTAAGTCGATTAATAATTATATGTGAGTACACATACACACATATGCACACGGAACACTATCGCATCGGCGTAACAGTAAATTCTCTGGACCACTCGGCAACAATTTTCTCTCAGCGAAAACGTGGAGGGAGGCGATCGCTTTCTGCTACAATTATCCAATCGTTAACGCTGCGTAATTTTAAAACAAAGCCTCAAATTAAAAAATTTCACTCACTAAAACAAAACAAAACAAAACATCTAAAATCGACGGGGGAACATGGTTTCGGTACTTCCGAGGTTTAGCTCGAGAAGAAAGTTGCTTGTTCAGTCGTTCGTGATTAACCTCAACTTGTCAGTTTCATATCTTCGCTGAGAAAATATTGAACGTCCCAACCAGGTGGAATCCGAGTAATCTCTTGACGACAGGATTCTTCCCGAGGAATCTGCCACTGAAGAGCAACGCAGTAGAAGTGAAGTAATTCGTATATACGTGTGTGTATGTGTTTATATTTAATGCACCTACAAGTTCCATTCGTTGATGCATGTTACCGTTTTTGAGCGTAGCGACATTCCCCGGTAAGAGGAAAGCTAAAGAAAGTGTGTGTGTGTTTGTGTGTGTATGTATACATGTAAGAGTATGGACTTGTAAGTAGCGTCTCATGAGTGCTTTCGAGACTTGGTTTTTCAGGTTCTCGCGGAGCCGCCGAGATCAAATATCGCGTGAATTTCGACATCGCGATGTTGTCGTACCGATCTCAAAGTTAAGTCATTGTTCGGACGTCAACGTGTCTATCTTCTTTTATCTACACCGATAACACTCAACGAGAAGGCAATCAACCGTGGCAGTAAGAATGCACGCTAAAATTAGAATAGCACCGTACGAACAAAAGTGCGGAATCACGTAATACTCATCTTGATTTTCCTTTTCTTGCTTAACGAACAATATATATATATATATATATATATATATATATATATATATTATATATATATATCTTTTGTAAACTACATCGCGTAACAATCGCGCATTGCTCGCGGACGCGAACGAGTCGCCCGAGTGTGATGGTCTTTCGAGCGTGTTTCGAGCGCCGGCACGCGCGAACATCACCGCCGTGACGTTTCTGGAAGCAACGCGTTCACACTACACTCTATTTGCTGATTTAAAAAATGAAATACAAAAGTGACCTTTTTTCTTCTTTTACCACTGACTCTACGCGTCTACACGGTATGAAAATAAGCCTGCGCGCGACATTTCGGTTTTCGAGTTTAATTTACAAAGTCCTCCGTTTGTGGCGCGTGCGAAATACCTAAATCGGTGATCTGTATCGATCGGGCACAACCGCGATTAATTTTATTTCGTCGTTTCATTCCTTTCTCTTTGTTCCTGCAAGAATAGCGTTTCCCCGTGAGTCTTACAAAACCGGGGCATACACGTACATGTACATTCTATGATATAAGTTGGAGTCTAATCTAGAAAATATATTTTCTCGGCGCGGCTGGGCCACGAAACAGAGAGGGGCGACGGTGATATTCTTTTTCGTTTGATTCGACTGTGATAGGCGTTTTCAGCTCTGATCTTGCGATAAGGCGCCATATTTGTTGCCCAGCGAGAGCTTCGGTGCTTGAGCCTGCGAGTCTTGCATGCTGTACGATCTGCTGCCGCCTCGATTGCGAACCTCCTCGAATGCTCCTTCGTCGCGCTTCCTACAATCAGCGATACAACCCTTTATATCTATTCTCTTAGATCTCTACTTTGAATTTACTACACCATCAATAGGAGATTATAAAGAAATGCATGCAAGCGAGATATCTCATGCTATTCCGTTCTCAACGGTTCGATAAACACGAGATACATAAGTGCATAAAAGCAAACGCAAGGAGCTTTTAGAGCAATTAGAGCAGCAACTACTTGCACGTGTAAAAAATGAAAGAATCAAAGGTAAAGGTTGCATAACCCAGAGAACAATAAACAGCGAATAGACCGAAAATGCATAAAATATAAATGTTGTAAAATCCTCGCGAAAATGCGAGCATTTTAAGCGACAGAACTGCAACCGATATCTCATCTCTTGACAAGATACAGTAGAATCCAGGTTTGTTCATTTTAGCTGAACTAGGCTGCGCTTTTTGCTTTCAGAGTGAAACAAATATATAATATCCTGCTGAAGGGAAAAGGATCGAGAAAAAAATCCTAGTGCTGCACTAGCTTAGCTAAAAGGAGCCTCTAAAAGACCTCACATCTTACCGCCTTCCCCATGGACCGCTGCCATTGTTCTGTTGCTGAGGCTTGGCATTCAGAGTAGGGAAGTACTCCTCGCTGTGAATATCCGGAGCGATGTTCCTTCCGTGCGATCGCGGATAGTTATTGTTTATGCAGGGTGCATTCCGCAAGTGTGGTGCTTTGTAGCTGCTTCCAGTGGAGGTGGTAGTTGGAGGAGGCGCAGGTGGTGCGGTCACTTCTGGAGTTTCTGGCGGTAAATCTGGTTTCTTCCATGGTCCTGTGTGCTTCGTGCCTCCTTCACCGGATTCACCATCAGAGCTGTTCTCGCCAGTACCTCTCTCATCGTCTGACTCAGCGTCGATGCTGTCATTGACTGTCAAGTGTCCGATCTTTAGACCACTGTAATCTTTCTTCTCCTCCTCAAATTCCTTCCACTCGTCCTCATCCTGAAAACAATTGTATTGTTAATGATATTGCAACACACGCGACTAATAATACTCGTGATATGCTTGTTGCCTCCTGTTGATTGACTTATCAGATTTCTTCATTGAGATCATTTAATAATGAGCAATCTTCATGCATGCGAGTCTGCAACTCACAGCAGCATAAAAAAGCTGCAATTCGTAATGAAATTATAGTCAGCAAAAGTACATTGAGTACACGTTGAGGAAAAATGTGACGAGAGTCTCGTCGACTCGGAATGTCGCGTTGCAAAGGCCGCTTCTCGCGGATAGCACGAAGCTCGGCACGAATCCTCGGTAACGACGTTGAAACGAACGTGCGCGAACTCCACGAGGATTCTCGGGAGAAAAGAGGTTCCGTAGGAGTCGCGTGGCGGCCGGAATTGTCGCGACACATCGATCCCTCCCGTTCGACGATTATGTAAGGATTCTTCGGACGGGCCTGTTGATCGCATTGACGCATCGACGCGTCCTCGCCGTCGGTTGCTCCACGCGAGCGGAGTGAACCATATGATGTTCGCGGGGAACAAACATGGCAGCACGGTACATGTGCACGGACATACTTCCAGAACTCTTCGGGGGAGAAACGCGTTGCACGCGGGTGAGCACCATGGCCTTTGTCGCGATCCCGACGTCTCTGTCGTCCTTACCTCCGTATGCTGGGACTCTTCGCCCTCGGGATTCGCCGGCTTCTCCTTCAGCTTCGGCTTCTCCAGTCGCTTGCCTGTCTCCTCGAGCTTCTTAGCAACCTCGTCGGTCGTCGTGAACTTCTTGCCTTTGGCCTTCTTGCGATCCTTCTTCGCGAAGAAATCGTCGAGATCTGCCATGGTGTGAACGGGACGATCGGCCTTCGTGTATATCACGCTGAGGAGAGGCTCAAGATGTTTGCAACGCGCGAAGAAACCTGATCACGACAGCAGCACGGACTGATCGAGGGCACACTGCTCCTGCTGCGATCGTCCACATGGGCTTGTCTCAACCGGAAGTTGACCACCGGAGTCAAACGAGCAAGACTCGTTCGAGTTGGTGCCTCGTCGCGCGATCTGAGGCTCCGCTCGGCCGAAGAATATCGTGAAAAGTCGAGAGACGCGACGTTAATGATATCTCACGTGGCCTCGAACGTGTCGCAGTGAATAAATGGACGAGGAGACGCAAGTTCGAGATCGAGCGCGGGTCGAGCGAGTGGCGCTGCCTGTCCAGCAGAAGACCGTCGCGACAGGTGAGACCCCTAACCTAAAGCGATGCGTCGCACTGCGCGTGCAAGCGTACCGCCGGCTGCGTTTCTCGCCTCCGTCGAGGGTTTCGCGCGCGACGCGAGGTCGTGTCAGCCCCTCGGGGGTGTGATCTCCAACGAAATGTACCGGCTAGATGGTGAAAGGCGCAACGCAGGGAGCATGTGAGCACGAGGAGGTTAATTGTTCCCCTTGCGCTTCGTTATGTGCGGTAGGTGGCGCTGCGAAATGGCGTTCCTTACTTCCGGGATACGAATCGGCGAAAGGACAGAAAGGATCTGCTGTGGACTCACGAACAGGATATGGAGCCCTTTTTCTCAGTAGATACTCAGTCGAATACGCAGCTCTCGTCCGATGGAAATATCATTTATTGATCGGAGATATCATTCGCGTTACAACGGCAGTTACATATCACACGAAAGAACGTCGCCGCGGCCGCAGCCGCATTTTCGCGACGGAGGCGCGAAGCGACGTCACCCGACGAGCGGAATATCGCGCTTCTCATTTCGCAGTCCGAGTGATCGGAAAAGTGCAGGTCGGCCGTCGCGATCATCATCGGTAAGTCATTCGTTCCTCAAGTTGCAATCGAATGGCCGCACGCGCCGAACGCGGCGCGTGGCGCGCGCATGCGCACTCCGGCGCGACTCCGCATATACCGCACCAGCCAGTCGACGGAGTCTTCGACACTCGGTGGCACTCGTTGACGTGAATCTTACCAGACACCGTTCGACGGCGGCGCACCGTTCTCCATCCTCGTGTCTTTGCATCGTATTACGCGCAAGGGGGCAAAGTGCCCTCCTCTCCGCTGTCCGCTGACCGACGAGCGTGCGAGAACCACTCTTGGACGGCGAGTTTTCCCGCTTGACGGTTCGACCGGCCACGCCGAGCGAAAGAGTTAATGTGTAACAACGACGACACGCTGCGAGATGAAGCTTACACGCAACTGCCTCAGCGGCATCGCCAAGATGTTGGACTTTTATTCACAGTTCAATCCTTCGCCGCTCTCGATCAAGCAGTTCTTCGATTTCGGTGAGTACTCGCTCCCATTCCTCGTGCGTTCTTGGCCTTCTTTCCATTCGTCGGTTCGCCGCCACTGCCTATCTGGCGTTTCTCCATCGTCTCTCTCTCTCTCTCTCTCTCTCTCTCTCTCTCTCTCTCTCTCTCTCTTTCTCTCTCTCTCTATCTCTCTCTCTCTCTCTCTCTCTCTTTCTCTCTCTCTCTCTCTCTCTCTCTCTCTCTCGGTTTGTATCTCGACAACGTTCAACGACGCGTGACGCGCGCGTTCGTCCCTTCGCTCGTTTTACGTCGATTAAACGCGATTGACAGAGGGACCGCCGTTGCCAGCGTGTACATGTAATTTACGCGTCTTACACAACAGCGGTGCTCCTTTGCCGTGGAGCGTAACGAAAGCGATCTGTTTCTCTCTCTCTCTCTCTCTCTCTCTCTCTCTCTCTCTCTCTCTCTCTCTCTCTCTCTCTCTCTCTCTCTCTCTCTCTCTCTCTCTCTTTCACACTTCATCGCGAAATTTTTCGCACAGATTCCTTGGCTGCTGCTTTGACGCGCTGTGAAAAGCGGCAAGATTCACGTGTGCCGCGTGTATTCATCGCGTTCATGATTGTTTATTATCTGCCCAATGAAGCACGATGAAGAAGGGGAGATTAGAAGTTTATCACGTATCGTTATAATAGGGCGATAAAAAATTCCTCGGTAGATAATGATATCCGGGGTCTGCCGTTAAAACGGACTCCCGTTGGCGATTGTATTTTTTGTCGCTCGACCGCATGGAGCAAATGTGCGATACTCGGCGGTCTTTTTGCACTTTTACGATGCCGTAATTTTTATATTATCGCGTTGTATGGATTTATGGAGTGCGTTTTCTTTTTTTTTTTACACAGAGTCGTTTCGATAGTGACGTTTGCATAACGTCGAAACTTATTGTCATATGACAGTTTTTTTTAAATGAAGCGCTCGATGATTGAAATTGAGAACGACCAGGAACCAGGAAGCAGGAATGGCGAGATAATTTCAGCAGCGATTTTACTTGTGCGCTGGTACTTGTACGTGTCTGCTCTGAAACCGGTTATAAAACCGACCCCGAAGATACGCTTGTTACGTATTTTTTGGCTTTAATTATCAATTAACTGGTACAATACAGCAGCTTGCAGTCACACTGCTACATCGCCGCAATGTTACATATCGCAATGTAATGTAATTGTAGAGCAATCGCGAAGATATAAATTTGCAATATAATTCCAACAATATGATGGCAATATCTCAGAAATATCGCGAAAATAACGCAGTATTTTTTTACCTGTTTATTCATTAGTTATTTTAATAACTGACATTTTTTAAATTTAATGTTTTAGTAGTATCTAGTAGCAATCATTAATACTGGAATTTGTAGCGTATCTGATGGCAATCATCAATATTTGAATTTGTTAGTTCACTATTTCTCTATAGTTCTTGCAGTATCGTTTTTTATACGTTCTCGGGATATGCTGCGAACTCGTAAATGATGTTTCATTTGTTTATCGTTATAAGTATATTTGGGAGCTAATATATGCATGTTTTGAGAAGATAACTTAAAATTTTTTGTAATGACAAAGATAAATGTAAATTTTTTGTATGTAAATGATATGATGTAAATGTAAATGATATGAATTGTTTCATATTTCTCGAATTAACTTATTTAGTCCAATTGGTTAAAACACTGAGTAAAAATTCAAAGGCGACTCGAACATCCTTAATTTTCGCTAATATACATTATATTGATATCCTATTCGTCCATTGACAATCCGCGATTCAAGAAAAGGGTAGGTGACCGTTATGGAATTGAAACCATGCAGGAATACACATGTATAAAAAAAAAGATGCACCCACATACATACGCACATAGTAACGCAAGAAATAAAATTCTTTTTCGTTATCAAACAGAACGATCAAACAGTAATTTGTATATGTTTTACTTCATTCATCATAGTGTCGATATAGTTTTACGCAAAGAGTATGATCGCAGTGTACATTTAAAACTTTCCCGTAAGAAATCTGCGCGTTCTAAAATTGCCTAACTTGGTAAATTAAGATTATTATGCTAATACATGTATATACAAAATATAAAATATTGCTGTATATATCTCACGCCAATAGTGCGGTAATGCTGCACTGCGTCTGAAGACAAGAATTTTACCCACAGCACAAAAGTTGCAGCGACATTGCTGCAGCATTGCAATATTGCAGCAATGTTGCCGCAACTTTTGTACTGTATGGACACTGTTGCTGCGATTTGAGAACAATGTTGCAGCGGCACATCGCTGCAGTGTACCGACATAATCGCAATCTTACAAAGAAATGTTGCCACGATGCTCCTGCATTCTTGCTGTGCTGTACGAGTGTTAATTCGGTATGAATAAAACAAATGGATCAAACGATCCCACACTGAGAGAGAAGTATATGATATTTGGAACTATAATGATATAGTAACTAAATTATAACCCGAAATATCAGATTTATAGTAAGTATTACCATAATATCGGTAATAATTACGATATAGGCATAGTATAACTAACCATATAATATTTTTACTAAGAATTATAGTAAGTTGAACTACAATTATTGAATGGATACAAATATAAAATGGTAGGTAAAGTAACTCTTTTATATAGTCAATATTACCAGAATATTTGCAAAATGATGACAGATGTAACTATATGAATATTAAATCTCGCTATATTTGTAAATGAGAAATTACCATATATGTTGGTAAAAGTAACTAAACAATTATTTAAGACAATCATTGACTATATATTTGTGTTTATTCTGTCTGTCTGTCTATTGTGTTTATTCTACTATATTTTTCAGGTTCCGCCAACTAAAAATATAGTTGACGCCAAAATCAACTCTAAAATATAGTGAGATTATAGTTAATTCAACTATATTTTTCTATCAGTGCACTGGAACGGTATTATATTGTCGTCTAAAAATTCGTGTTACTCATCTATCTTGCCCAAGGGCAGAGTTCTCCCATTAGGAGACACATTCTCCCATTGGATACTTTTCGAAGGTCACAGGAAAAATTGCGGACAGCATTTCCGTCGTATCATCTCGTCGCGTGTTTCAGCATCGTCGCAAACGACAGGTCTTTTCAGCATATCTCTCGTTCACTTCTCATCACGCGCGAGGTATTTTTTAAAATGTTTTCAATTGCTTCTGTTTCACAACACAAAACAGATGACTTACGTCGCGCGGTATTTGCCCCAGACCAGTCGACCTTCATCGCCTGGCGTAGCGTATGGTGGATCTATCGCCGACAAAGAGCGATAACAGATACATCTGTGATGTAATCGCTTTCTGCGCGCAATTTGCACGTATTCCTTTCCGTCACGTCGACGGAATATTCCGGAATATACGAATAATCGATTTTCGCAACGCCGCTCGCTTATTCGCGCGCGCGCGCGCGCAGTCAGGAGTGTCATCATTAATTGTGCCATATAAACAAGGAAACGAAGGAAGACGTCACGGCGACGTGACGAGAAATTTGGGGAGAGACCAACTCCGCGAGGAGACTTTCGGAAGACCTCGGGAATACAATTCGAAGCTCGAGAACCTTGAAGGTCGAAAATCGCGCGACCAGCGACGAGCGATGAGAAAGAAGCACCACTGATATCTATACACAAGGAAGTTCGCGACGTCACTGTTCACAGAGGCGTAGTAACGCGAAATGCATGATCGAGGTCAATCACCTACATTCTCTGACTTCTATTGCACGAGTATATTGCGTGTATTTTGTCTAGCGGTTGTGTTCGCACGCCCCGCACCGTCGCGCCCCATGCGCTCATCGCTGAGAGCGTCACAGACGAGTCTGAAAGGTATATCTCGTGAGCTTCATTAGAATCCGTCGTGCATGGCGGACTTCATCTCAAAGATGAAAAGAGAAGTGTTCATCACGCTCACGCTACGATTCATCGATCCCCGATGTGACTTACGACACAACATCGGTTCGCGCGTACAACGATTGAGAGTTGCTGTTGCCTGAGAAAATTTGCATTGAACTTGGAACCCGCCTCCTCCTCGGCTATTCAACGCGAGAATTACGAAGTGGTCAAAGATGAGCGCGCGCGTAACCTCTCGTAAAATTTCTCATGAAAAATAATTTCTCAGATTAATAAATTAATTAATTTGATCAGATCAATCGCAAATTAAATAAATTAATCCATTCTATTAATTCAATTCTATCGATTCTATTGATTCTCATAAAATAATTAATTTCTCATAAAATTACTTCAATTTGTATAACGATGCTTTGTATATTTCTTATAGAGGTGGAATATATATAATGTATAATGTATACATGCATATATGTATAAGTTCAGTCTTGCATATAAGACTGAAAGGAATGGATGAATATTTTTGTTCCTACACAATGTGTTTTTCTCCCAAAAACCTGTTATTTTGACCTGTCCGGTAAAAGAAAATGGTAAACTCCTATTTAGGGGATCCATCTCCGATGACCTTGTCTGTTAGATATATTATCAAGGAGACCCTCCTGAGTCACAATCAAAAGGTTTTAGCCGTCGCTCATTATTGATTAAAAAGTTATTAACAAAAAAATTTGTACGAATGTAACATAATTTTTCGAAAGTGTATATATAGAAATGTAGGAAACAGTACATATAAGCGAGGGGCGAAGCCCCTCCCCCGCACCCCCTCCCTGAATAAATCTTAACCTAATCTAACCTAACTTATTGCATCTTTATATGAAAAGATTTCCTTAAAACCCACAACACCAAATTGTACGCAGATATAATAAGTTAAATTGGATTAGGCGATAGATCCTAAGAGAACTTGTTCAACAATGTCTAAAAATATATAAAGATGCAATAAGTTAGGTTAGCTTAGGATTTACTCGGGGAGGGATTTCGCCCCTCCCCCGCTTATACGTACTGTTTCCTACATTTCTATACATACACTGTGTTTGGATTAACTGTATGGAAAAATTTATGAAACTTCATTTGTTCATAACTTCGTTATAA